ATCATTTGGCCATTGAATAGCCCATGGGCATCCCCACTGCATATGGTACCGTTATAACTCAAATAAATCACTAGCATGGCGAAAGCCACTGAACCTTCTGTCGAGGCCTTAACGAAACGTGAGGTTCCCAGAACATCTTCACACTCATACCACATGACTAAGGGATTCGATTCACCCAACTCTTATTCGTTTGTTGTATTTATTTCCTTTTTTCTTTCAGACACATCAATTTTTTTATATTGCATCCCGAAACACAAGTAAAAACGTTTCTATAACCGTAAATGTTAAATCCACTAGAAAAACTAGATATATACTTCGTTCCGATGTTCTAATTTTCGCATTATTTTAGTGTATGGTAGATGCATATCATTATTCAGACATTATTTTTGGTGCATCTTCCCCAACAAGGTTCTTAGGATTCTTGTTATCTTTTTTAGGTGTGACGGGCACTGGACAAAAAGTAAACGAAGCTCGAGATCCGACGGACAAACATCAACGAAGCGATGTGCAGACACTCGATTAGCATAGTTAGACGACCAGTAGACACTCCACCAAGCCGCTCGAGAGAGGTTTACCGATGGGGAATCATTGAGTTTTTTACTTCCGGCTGGTTTTGTCTTGGTCACTGGGTGAATAGGTGGGTCCGCAGGCAAACCGGTCATAAATGCTTTTCTGACGTTCTGACGAAGACTGCAGATGGCGACGCGCCAGGTTGTAGGTCATCTCCAGGTGGTGACGAAGATGTTGGACGTAGGGAATGCAGTCGATTTTTTCATATGGTAACAGTAGCGTCTGGAAGGCGGAGTTCACGCCCAAACGAGAGCAAAGCCGGGGAAAATTCCGTCGATGAACGCAATGAGGAGCGATATGCCAGCAAACACTTAGGTAGGATATCATCCCAGGTGTTCTCCAAAAAGGCACGGAGGAGATTCTCGATAGTTCTATTGGTGCGTTCCACCAGTCCATTACCCTGAGAATCGTATGACGCAGTATTATTATTATTTCCTTTAGTTCCTAGAGGAACATAGAGCTTTACCCGCAAGTCTCTATTGCGTTCGGTTCTCTGCTAGAGTTTTCACCTGGCTCCAGGTCTGCCCACATGCTTTCATCTCCTCTTCACATGATCTCCTCCAGGTCACCCTTGGACGACCAACTCGTCGCTTCCCTTTCGGGTTCCACTCAAGGGCTTGTCTAGTGATGTCACTTGCTGGTTTCCTCAGAGTATGGCCAATCCATCTCCATTTCTTCCTGCCTATTTGTTTCACAATCGGTTCCTGGTTGGTTCGCTCCCAGAGATCTTTGTTGCTGATCCTTTCCGGCCATCTGATCTTGAGTATTGAGCGAAGACATCTGTTAATGAAGGTCTGTAGCTTGTTGGAGGTGCTCTTTGTGACACGCCAAGTCTCTGATCCGTATAGTAGTACTGACTTCACATTGGAGTTGAAAATCCCGATTTTATTTTTGACGCTGAATGATGTTGACCTCCACACAGACTTGAGAGTAATGAAAGCTTGCCTTGCTTTCCCGATCCTTGCTTTGATATAATATATATATAATATAATATATATTTCACATAAATTAAACATTTACATGATTAACATACCGTTTGTACAGGCATGATCATATTCGACAAGTACAATTTGAAATGGAACACAGTTTTTTGACATCAAAAATTGGAAAAATGGAAAAAAACCTCTAGAAACTTTGTTAGAATAGATTACAATATACTGGTTCAAGTCTAATTTATAGTCTATAATATACTTATAGTCAGTTAAATTCATGCGGGAATTACGAAATGTTGCGTTAATGGAAGGTAAGAAGAGAGGTGATTAACATGTGCTAGAGTACGACATACAGGATACAGGCCTTGTGATCATTGTCATTTTGTCAATTAATAAGGGTTCAAATATTTAAAAAAAAACAACTCCACAGTAGAGGGTAAGTACAGCATTATTTTGGTAATAACAGATACAAGGGACCAACTTTGCGATGACAAACAGTACTCAGAATGGAATTTCTTCCGTTGTTCGTTGTGTCTGCCAACAACATTCTGAATAACGCTCAAGTAATAAAAACGTAGAAAGCAGCATTACTGTTCATTTGCAGTGCATCAATGCAATACAGTGAAGTTAAGCTGATTTTTTAGGCAATCCGGCATAGGGCTGGAATTTGCGTAGACGTAGGTGGTATTTACTCACAACATTACCTAGTCACCAGAGGAGATTTTAGTCCCAGCTATATCCAGGTTGTTTACTACTCAACCTTGAGGTAGAACTTCCACAACACTGAACTGCCCAAAATACAGTTTTGCCAGGGATATTCACCATAATATTTGATTAATTTGACAGTCAGCAGCTGGGATTAAATGGAGTTGAATCACTGAAAAGGTATGACATAAGGTGTGAGGGTAGTTCATGTAGATTCAGTGCAGCTTTCATGGTATATCAGGCTGAGTATTCCACTCCAGGTTTGTATGAAAGGATTGTGAATATTTTGTGATGGTGCTTGCTAGACAAACAATTGAATCAACTAAAAAAGAAAGAACTGAGAACAGCATTAGTGCAACGTTGATTATTTTAAATGTGTCCGATAATACTGACCGTTTCTGTTAATGCTTTCGGTGAACAAAGCTGTTTAGGTACGTAATTCAAAGGGGAAAGAAACAATATCACGAATTTTCAGTATGTGGCAAACTGTTTCAAGACTGTTTTCAGAGAAATATTTATTTACTAGATAGGTGAATCGTTGTAATGTGGTGCTATTTTTAATTTCACTTGGCAAGAAGTTCCATGTTTGCCTATATTTGACTGTAAAGAAGTTGGAACGTAATTTCGTGCGACAAAGAATATGACTAAGAGAAGACCCGTTGCTGCGTAGTTCATACGTCGAAGAAGTAAAGTTAAGGTTATTATTGGGAAAGTATACTATTCCTTTGATTATTTTAAAAAGGAGAATGAGGTTAAGTCGGTGGCGCCTGTACCAAAGGGGTTCGATCTTAAGAGTTGTGCAACGATAGTTGTAGGGAACTTTCAGACTTGTTCCTAGGATTCTACTTGTAAATCTCCTTTGAACACTTTCAATCTTTAGTTTGTCCTTAACAGAGGTGCTGTCTAGGATAAATGGACAGTACTCAAGGAGGGGCCGTATGTGTGTTTTATAAAGTAACATTTTAGATTCTTGTGTTTGAAAGTTATGAAATATAAATCCAAGTAATCTTCTGGCTTTAGAAACTTGGTTGGTGACATAGAGAGAGAATTTAAAGTCAGCGGAGTAACGAAGCCCGAGGTCAAGTACAGAAGGAAAGATAGTGATAGGCTTGTTGCACATAGTTATGTGTGGTGTGGTACGTAAGCGAGCTGGGCATAACAGTCCACACTTCTCCACGTTGATCTGCATCATCCACGACTTACACCATGTCTCAATATTATCAATATCCGATTGGATTTTATGAGACAGATTTGTCACTTCTTGGGTGGTACTGTGGTAGACTATCTTCAAGTCGTCGGCATATAAGAAAGGTCTGCCGTGCTTTATAACATCACAGACGTCATTTAGGTATATTAGAAAGAAGAGAGGTCCTAGTACACTACCTTGAATCACGCCACTTGATATAGGAGTGGTACTGGAAAAAGTGTCGTTAATCTTAACAGACTGGGACCTACCACACAAAAATGAATTGCACCACTGTAAGAGATTGCCAGATATACCGTAAGCCTTAAGTTTTTGCAGGAGTAAATTATGACATACTTTATCGAAGGCCTTCTTAAGATCAATATACATAATGAGCACAACGAATTTTTGGTCTGTAAGTCCAGTTATAAAATCGAATAGTTCTAAGTGGCAAGTCATACATGACCTGGACTTTATAAAGCCATGCTGAGAAGGTGTTATGAGGTTTTCTGTCAATAAGAAGTCAGTGATTTTGGTACTGATTATCTTCTCAAGTATCCTTGACAAGACAGACGTTATATTGATCGGCCTGTAATTCTTTACATCATATTTTGAGCCGGATTTAAATCTAGGAATAATATATGTCTGCTTCCATTTAGAAGGATAAACTCCATTCACAAGGGACGTTGAGAATATCTTAAGCAAAAGGAGAGGGAGATCAGAGCCACCATTTTTTAGGAAGGATGAGGGAATAGAGTCAGGTCCAGGAGTATTGGAGAATTTCAATGAACTGATTGCACTTTTTATAACATCAACAGTCAAGCATATATTCGACAGTGTTTTTTCTGTTACAGAGTCAAATTCGATGCATGCGGAAATATCGTGCGTGTATGAGTCAGAAAAGTGCTTGTTAAAGAGTTCAGCTATGCCTGCATCATCCTTAACAGCAACATTATTATGAAGAATGTAAGGAATGTTGCCTTGTTTTTGTTGCAGTCTTTTTTGGAAGAGTTTACATAGAGAGCTAATTTTGCAACTACTTTTAAGGGCGACAAGTTCTTCTTTGTAAATTTTACTGGCATTATCTGATCTGATTTTATCATATACCTTTAGGATGCTAATGAGCGAGGAGAAGTCCATAGATTTATTATAGGTTTTACGGAGTCTTCTTAGCTTATTCCTGGTAGCAATCGGTATATATAGTTGATTTACACGGTTGCCTTTGGATGTATACCAAGGGATAGATTCGTTGAAGCAAACTGAAATGTTGGAGTAGAAACTGTCAAGGACAGTATCAATGTCTACCGAGGAGAAAAAGGTATTCCAGTCTTGGCAACGAATAAAAGATTGCGTTGTTTCCCACTTAGCCTTTGAAAAGTCCCTGACTTTTACTGTCCGACGACGGTCTTTGCCTGACCCATTTGCTGCTAGGTTAAAGGTGGAAATGACCGTGTTGTGGTCACTACCAGGGAATAAAGGCCCAACTCGAGTGCTGACGGGAAGGATGTTGTGTGTGAAGATTAGATCCAAGATGTTGGATTTACGTGTGGGGTGATTCACATTTTGTGTCCATCCATAGAATTCAACCGAATTTATAAAACGATCAGTGTATTTAGGAACATTTAGCTTATTCCACTGGATACCAGGCATGTTAAAGTCGCCAGCTATTATTTTATAGTCAAAGTTTAGGGAGGAGACGTGTTCGAAAATTTCACACAAATGGTTCGTTGTATTAATATCAGAATTGGGCGGGCGGTATATACATCCCAATAAAAGTCTTGTATTGAAGTTAGTGTTGAGTGTAACCCATACTGCGTCTGTAAGTGAGCAACCCAAATCATCAACTTCTACAGCGTGGAATTTGTTGCTAACAAAGATAAGACAACCACCACCACGTCCTTCTTCTCTGCCATGTCTAAAGTGTGTGTATCCTGGTGATTCTAACAGTCTGTCATTGAAGTCAGATGGTAACCAGGTCTCGGTAACTAACAGTACAGAAGGCATACAAAGTGAAAGTAAGGAGTGAAGGTATGGAATTTTATTGCAGATAGAACGAGCGTTTATAAGGAAAAGAGTAAATGATCTTTGATCAGTGGTAAGGGCTGAGGCAAAGTGAAGGAGATGATGATGTGATTCAGCTGAGGTTAAATGAAAATTAGATGACAGTCTGACCGGTACATCGAGTGTTCGGTCCATAAAGCCTTCATCGTTTTCGTTAAGGTTCTGTGAAAAAGAAGATGGTTTCCATGGTAGATCACTCAGTTCACGATCGCATGGAGATAGGCATACGGAAACTGGGGTATCCTGGGTGTCTGAAGAGGGCACATTTGAGAGTAAGGAAACAGACTGTTTGACATCAGGTTGATTGGTGGCATTACTGCCGGGTGCGGAAAAGAGAAAAAATGGTGAGGGGATTGATTAGTTGGAAAGTTGTAAAGACTGTTTTGGTGTCGGGGGAGTGTGTTTCTGGGGAAGTAGCATTTACTGGGTGGATCCCCAAGCAGGCTATGCTGAAAGTTTAGGCGATTGAGTCCATGTGGCTGTGCACCAGGAATATGGGCATAGTTATATTTGGTATTACGCAACCTTATAGTAGAAGTTGGGTAGCTGCAACTGGTTGTATTAAAATGGTGAGGAAAAGAGAATGAGATAGGTTGACTAGTGTCAGTTCTATTTGATACCATAGACGTCCTTTTGGGAGATTTAAGCGTATGAGTAATAGGAGACGCTGAATCAGGCTTGACGGAGTGTATGCCAGGCATAAGAGTTTTGTTCCTTACATTTTTATTCGGAATCTTAGAGCTAGATGTGAAGATATTACAAGGGTTTTCGATAGTTCTAGCATGGCGAGTGAGATTTTTATTGATATCTTTTGCAGCAATTGAGTGCTTTTTAGGTTGTTTAACAACTGGAGAAATACTAGATTTAGTATTGGTAACCATATCAAGCTTCATTTTAGGGTCACTAGGTGGAGGACTTCTTTTAAGGTTTAGGTGGTGTTTTGTATTGACATCAGTGGGGCCGGTTGTATCCTTTTGGTGATTTATTTCATCTGCTGGGATACTTTGTTTGGCACGACGCTGGATTGGTGTCCTGTCGTGAATAATACGTACATTTTTAAAGCTACTTGCTTTCCTAAAGAGATGCTGGTTATTTACAAAGCGACTAGCATCCACAATGCTATTAAACTCGAACATTATTGGACAAGATGTATTAGCTGAAGATTTACGCAGTCGTTTGCAGGTACAATGGGAATCTGGTATTTCGCATGCCTTTAGAAGTGCGTTTTTCAGTGTTTTAATGTTCGTACTGTCGGGCACATTGAAAACAATTGCATTATACATGCACTGAACCCGCTTGATCACTTCCGTGGAAATATGGTCTATAATTCTCTCACAAGACTGTAGCGTATCATAGTCAGGATAGTCAGCAGGCTTTATCAGATACCTAAGGGGTAAGAGATCATGGACTAACGGAAGGATGTTTGTGCTATCCAGGCTATTGGATTGGTTGGATGTGTTTTGCGTAGGCAAGGAGCAATTTGTTTTTTCAAATTTGGCATTAGGTTGGTGTCCATGGGTCACTGATGACCGATGGAAATTCTTGCGATGGGGGGCTTTATCGTTAACAGTAGCGGTGGTGCTGCATTCTGCCCTCTGTGCCGGCATATGTGTAGCCTGCTCAAAAGCATCCAATTGAATGGAACTAGATGACAGTAAATCTGCCTGTGTATTGCAATGATTATCAAGGTCAACGTCTAAGGTTACTAAGCATTTGGGGGAGTTAACATTTCTTTTGACACAGTCAAAAGATTTGATATTAGTATGTATCGATGATAGTGAGGCCACATGTGTGTTCGGACCTTCTGACTGACAATCCTGAGTAGGGCAAATGGAGGGTGTATATTCAACCACATCAGAGGAGCCAGTGTCAGGCTTTTTATTAACAGCCAGTGTGACTTGGTAAGAGTCCAAAATGCTTGGCTCACAACCTGTACTATTGCAAATATCCCTGATAAAATCATTTATAACGCAAGAAGGTGAAGAGGTAATGATATCCGATTTTGACATATTTAGCACCTGTGTCAGATCAGGGGAAAGTGTAGTGCCATGCTGTTTAGGCTTGCTAGATTTATGTCTTTTGCTGAAGTTTTCAGCCGATAATGAAGCACGACGCTTCGATAGCTTAACTGGCATTTTGTATAAATTCAATACAGAACTGTCGGACTGCAAGTATATGAGACTTAGGTTGTTTGATTTTATGTCAAAACAAAAGACAGGAGTAATATGGGCACTGAGAGTCAGATGCTCGATGTGGTAATACCTTAATCAGTAATCTGAAACAGTAAAAGTAGCAAGGATAATATCCTGTGACTATAAAGGTAAGTTCAGATATAACACAAATATTTCTATTTGTATTAGTAATCGGTGACACTAAGGATATATCCTGAAAAGTGGGAGTACTACACAGAATAATAAAAACGAAAACCACGCGGAAAAAACGACAAACTTCGAACGAGGCGCGAACGAGTGGCATGGCTTTCAACCTGAAAAGTGAAAAGGAGTGAAATTACGCAAGTTACACCCTGTGCAATGAAAGCTTGTAATGCACAACGTCGGAGCTCTACTTAGGTCTAATTGTAACCGAAAAAATGGGCACAAGCATAAATTACACAGTGGACGTAGAGAGGGCATATGAGGTCATACAATTTACACATAGACGGTTAGGTGCACTCACTCCTGAGCTCTTTCTAAGGTTGTACGAAACATACGTCAGACGACATCCTGAAATGCATAATATCATTGCACCTCCACTGCTTAGAAAAAACGCCAACCTCTTGAAAGAGTCCAAAGACGGGCGACAAAAGGAGTAGTTGGTCTCCAAAATAAATCATAGGGGAAAGGCTAAAGAAATCAGGCCTTTTCACACTTAGCTACCGTCGGCTTAGGGGAGATTTGATTACTGCCTACAAGATAAGAAATGACCAGAATCACCCAAACAAAGGTGTTCTGCCATTGAGTAGTTATAGGCTTCCTCATCGAAATCCCAGAAGGATAGCTCATCATAGGACAAGGAGTCGGGTGCGCTCCCACTTCTTTTCACTGCGGGTTTGCCATCCCTGGAACTCCTTACCGGCAGATGCAGCTATGGCATCGCTTGTGGACGCCTTTAAGTGAAGGCTGAACAATCAAACAGCGACACAAGAACTGCGTCCACGTGGCCTATCCCCTTAAAATCCCATTCTGGGGTAAACAACTAATTTTGTCGTTTTACTTCTTTTGTAACGACAGAAGGCAAGAGTCAGGCAACAGATCATTTATTAAGGAAATCAACGCATATTTATATATTTTCATGTACATTATTATGGATAGTCAAGCGAACAAACACAGTCTTCCGATTGGTTGTTTCTCACTTAAAATTAATCTTTCATCTATTTGTGACTGTTTCTTGAATGTCAAATCCTCTATATGTTAACTGCATCCGCCTACGCAAAGTCTGCTGTGGTCGGTTTTGAATCAATCTTTGTTCACATTTTCTCATGACAAATCTTGGGAACGTAAATATTGACGTAAATTACTGTCTACCAATTTGGCTAGTAGACAGCTCTCACCACACTTTATATTCTCTCCCGTCTTATTCTCCTGACAACTCTAACTACTACACTTATTATTATTGTTACTGATATTATGGATTCCACTGACTTTAGTAGTCAAATCACACAAAATTGCAGAAATCCGAATTCGATATAATTAATATTCCTCGATTCCTGCAACAGAAATAGGTGCTGCACAACAGCTGATCGGAAAATTTACGACCGAATACAGGTTGCCACCAAGCTGTTAAGGAATTTTCCAAAAGCCAATCGCCGAAATGTACGCGTAGCCTACTCGGTATACCGAATAATCACTGCATGAACTATGAGTTTAAGCGTCCTGCTGCATAAATAATGCGTCCGTATTTGGGGATAGTATCAAGCAATAATTCTTATATAAATTCATTCAGTAAGAACCAAGTATGCAGGAAAAGCACATCAACTGCATCCTCCTGGAAAATTTAATAAATGCCCCAACTCGAATGAACTATACCATGGGAATGACAAGAAGATGAAGCAGTTGCAATATCCTATATCCTTTTTACGAGGTGGTATAAAACAATTTGATTTCTTTATGCTCGCTTCTTGATTGTGAGTTATAGGTTTCTGATCTTCGGTAAACTTCTGCGTAGCTCGTCCCGCCACTCGACTGTCGTAGCTCTGTTTGACTCCAAAGGGAGTAGTGCTGGGATTAATTATATGTGGTTTGTAGTATGAGGTGTGTTACGATTGCTACTACTGTGAATGGAGTTGATCCTTTAACCGGTAAGTCCTCCCGTATTGTCGTCGAAAGAAAAGAGATAATAATAATAGACATAATTAGTGAATTTATTCAGACTAAAAGACAGAAAAAGAAATAAAAAAGACGTAAAACAAACTGGAAGTTGACATATATATATAATATCAGTAACAATAATAATAAGTGTAGTAGTTAGAGTTGTCAGGAGAATAAGACGGGAGAGAATATAAAGTGTGGTGAGAGCTGTCTACTAGCCAAATTGGTAGACAGTAATTTACGTCAATATTTACGTTCCCAAGATTTGTCATGAGAAAATGTGAACAAAGATTGATTCAAAACCGACCACAGCAGACTTTGCGTAGGCGGATGCAGTTAACATATAGAGGATTTGACATTCAAGAAACAGTCACAAATAGATGAAAGATTAATTTTAAGTGAGAAACAACCAATCGGAAGACTGTGTTTGTTCGCTTGACTATCCATAATAATGTACATGAAAATATATAAATATGCGTTGATTTCCTTAATAAATGATCTGTTGCCTGACTCTTGCCTTCTGTCGTTACAAAAGAAGTAAAACGACAAAATTAGTTGTTTACCCCAGAATGGGATTTTAAGGGGATAGGCCACGTGGACGCAGTTCTTGTGTCGCTGTTTGATTGTTCAGCCTTCACTTAAAGGCGTCCACAAGCGATGCCATAGCTGCATCTGCCGGTAAGGAGTTCCAGGGATGGCAAACCCGCAGTGAAAAGAAGTGGGAGCGCACCCGACTCCTTGTCCTATGATGAGCTATCCTTCTGGGATTTCGATGAGGAAGCCTATAACTACTCAATGGCAGAACACCTTTGTTTGGGTGATTCTGGTCATTTCTTATCTTGTAGGCAGTAATCAAATCTCCCCTAAGCCGACGGTAGCTAAGTGTGAAAAGGCCTGATTTCTTTAGCCTTTCCCCTATGATTTATTTTGGAGACCAACTACTCCTTTTGTCGCCCGTCTTTGGACTCTTTCAAGAGGTTGGCGTTTTTTCTAAGCAGTGGAGGTGCAATGATATTATGCATTTCAGGATGTCGTCTGACGTATGTTTCGTACAACCTTAGAAAGAGCTCAGGAGTGAGTGCACCTAACCGTCTATGTGTAAATTGTATGACCTCATATGCCCTCTCTACGTCCACTGTGTAATTTATGCTTGTGCCCATTTTTTCGGTTACAATTAGACCTAAGTAGAGCTCCGACGTTGTGCATTACAAGCTTTCATTGCACAGGGTGTAACTTGCGTAATTTCACTCCTTTTCACTTTTCAGGTTGAAAGCCATGCCATTGGCCACCGCCTAGTCTTCCAGAAGCTTCAGATTTGCCTGCAGCCTATCTGAGTCCTCGGACATTTTATTGCCCTCTATATCTTTACGTCGTCAGCGTAAAGAAGAGTCGGGCAGCTTGGACGGCATGGTAAGTCATTGATAAAAATCATAAACATCAATGGTCCTACGATAGAACCCTGCGACACTCCTGACGACAAGATGATCGGACTCGCTGTTGGGGCCACTTCAGATATGCCATATAATCGCCCGATAACAGCTATTAAGAAATTTCGTTAAAATGCTGATCGATATAATAATAATAATGTATTTCATATAAATTTACAAATTTACATGAAAATGCATGCCATGTTTACAGGCACGATCAAGTATGATATAATATCAAATCGTAGATTGTCTACAAGTTAATCGTATTTCAACTGTTAAATATTCGATACATATAATACACTCATTTTCTGAATTAGGCCGTATAGTTATTGAATTGTACAGTTGTCCTCCAGGTTGAGCGGGAAAATCGACTTCGTTCCGTTTTCATCCCGTGGTTGTAGGCATACGATAACCAACCGATATTGAGGTAAGTACACCTTTTACAAGGGATTGGAATCTGTTTTAGAAAAATTAAAGTGCTGAGGTGAATCATTAAATTGTAATGAAATAGGTAAGTGCAAGTATCATTAATAAATGCATTAATAAAGGAAACACCCTAGGGTAACAACATTCATTTGCAATGTATAATGCTACAGATATATCACAAACTATCATGATATCAACTTTTGGTTTTAATACAATTATCCTCATGCCAGTTGTTTTTATTTTATACCTTTTTGTGCATTTAGTGCACTACCGTACCCTTCAGAGTGTAGGAGTATAATAAGTAATGAAGAGCTATAAGATGTTAAGTTTAATGGAGTAAAATGAGGATCAAGTAAAGACGTTGTCAGAAAATAAATGAGATAAGACATTGTGGAGTGGTATGAAAAGATCTGACGATAGACAGCAAGTTAATTTATAAGATGCCCCATAAATCTGAGCAGATCCCACATGGTCGCATCTCAACAATAGGCTGGGTGAATGGTATATATTTAAAGGTAGAAGCATGATCTGTCAAGGCGTTCATTGTTATCTTTTTCAAGATAAAGATTTAAGCCCTCATAAAAACCAGAAATATCTCGAGCCTTCAAATTTTTTAATGCTGTTCCTGCAGAATGGGGCGATTCACCTTAGTGTCCACCACCATATCTACTGATCAGCTAACTCCACCCTCCCACCTTTTTTGATGTTAGGCTCTGAGACTATGATTATTATGGTTACCGCATATATATTGCTTGGTACCAGACATATAGTATTAATTGTGGGAAAATGGTTGTGAATGCCTCTGTACACATGGAAAGTGATTAGTTAGGAAAAATAATGATAATAATTTGGAAAAACTAATATCGTATCTGACACAAACAAATCAAGTAAATCGACAATTAACAAGAAT